TGGCCCCCCAAAACTCGCCGCATCGATATTTGTGGAAGTCTTGCCTTCAGGATTACAAATTCATGCATAGAAGTAGCATGAAATACGGTTGATGATATAAATCCTGCATTTCCCATAATAAGGAATGTACCCTAATTCCTCTAGTTTAGGGTCCTTAACGTGATGCAGGATTTGTATCATCAACAGTTGTTTTGCAGGCTGCTTCTTGAACCCCAGAAGCATTCCCCAAAGGAAGGTCGAAGCCACGACGCAGCCACTAGGACGAATCTCCGGACTCCTACTCCCTGCGGCCACCGGTACACACCAACCGGAGCTACTTGTCCCAATTCAAACCAGTCATAATATGCAAGTTTCACAAGGGTGCAGCGTTAATCCTACTTGTTGCACTGGTTGATGGTCATGTAGGAACCTGATTAAGAAACCCTGGCCCTATAACCCCCAAAATATGAGGATTCATACAAGGAACCCTATTAAAAGACCCAGGGCTTCTGAATCAGGTTCCTACATTAATTATACCATAGCTCCCGTAGTTTTAGGGTCCTTAAGGTAATGCAGGATTTTATCTCCTCCACCGTATTGCTCTTGCTGACACGAGCTTCGTGGTTCTTGGGATTTCGGAGTGGTTCGTTCAGGATTTGGGGATCGCTTCGGCTGCTAAGCCGGGAGACCCGAAGGTACTTCGAGTCTCGACAATGGGAGAGGGCAATATAATATACCATAATGTACTTTAACATACTACAATATACGGTATCAGATTATAATTTACTTTGTTTTACTAAAGTGTACTTTAATATACCCTGTCCTGTTAGTGCCACGACCAAGATGGATGCCCACTATTTTGGCAGTCTGCAGAACTTGAACTCGAGAGTTTTTTGGGGTGAACGGTATGCGTATGTGCAGGTCTCTCGGAATCCAGGGTTTATCGTGACGACAGATGCAGGACCTGAACACCCACACAGGCTCAGCCTTCATGTAATAAAAGTGGGCAGAATCAAACCCGAAAAGAGTTCAACTAAGGCAGAGAAATTCTCATGTGGGTTGCCTGAAGCAGGGTCGACGGTCTTCACGCGGCAGTTTTCATACTGCGGTAGGACAAAAGTTCGTCGCACTCTGTATGTCGCTCTTGAACACGGTACAAACCCCTTTTCCCCTTAGACTCCTGCACCAAGTCCTCCGTCCGGAACGTGGTAGTAGTATAATTTTATTCCAGTGGATTAATTCCTCCGCTAGCCAGGCCACGTAGAATGTGCTTGTAAGTATCCGCTTCCTCCGCAAGATGGTGTAGCCAAGTGCCACGAAACTTTATTCCTGGTCATGTGTGAGTCAACAGAAGACATCGAGAAGCCTCGATCGGCAAACAGAGGTCGTCTCTCCCTCTCTCTCTCTCTCTATATATATATATACACTGTATATTATTACTATATTCTGCAAGGATACTCTATATACGTATGTAAATGTAAAAACAAATAAACATAATTATACACATGTATATATATATATATACATATGTATGTGTTTACATATATACATATATATATATATGTATGCATATATGTATATATAGGGTACATCTTGGGTAGTGTCTTCGCGCAAAGATCCGAACTTCCGGTGCTTCGCAGGTAGAGGGCCCACCTCCTTAGATTGCTTGCAGCTGCTCAAGGTGCGTCTTACAGGGCATGTCAACGGCTTGAGTTTTCGGCCGTTTAGGGTTTGAGATGAACTAGCCAAAATTTCGTCTGGCGAACATAGCTTTGGTACATTCTGCTAGGCTTAGCAATGACTTCCAACTACGGTTCTGCTGCCGATTTCCATAGAAACAACAACCCCAACCCTACATCCTAATTTCTCAAACCCTAGCCTGCGTTTCATCAGAGTGCCAACGCGCTCCTACCAATGGCATGATTTTTTGTCGGACCCCCAGAGGTTCCTGTCTGCGACCTCTACACCACTAGTTTAGTAAATGAATGAGCAATGCTCCTCCTTAGGGTTCTGCATGTTCAGAGGCTAGGAGAATATACCCTCCAAAGCCTTCTTGTAGCGTTGAAGGCCCTTGCAGTATGTGATTTTGTCGCTCGTCATGGCAAAAGGAGCATCATGGGCTTGAACGTCCGCTTCGCAACCAGATGCAGTTTTGATCTGATACTTCCTCGGGTGTCTTGCAACGAATGGAGGGGAATGCACCTAAAATTGCGAAGCCAGTTTATTTGAGCACGACCCTCGCACCTCAAGTGTGGAGTCCGATACCCCAAGCCCAAACCTGAAACTGCATCTGAGCCTTCAGCCGCAAGCCCGACATCGAAGAACTCCTGAACCAGACTCCCAGATCCTTGCAAGTACCCCCACGCGGAGGTTCATGGGTCGTGGAAAGCACGGTTATAGGAAGGGTAGCTATAATTATAACCCGTACTAGGGGACGTATAACTCCACTTCTAACTGCCCGGGAACCTCCAAGTAAGCCTCCCAAACATCTTCTAAACCCCGCCAAAGCTCCGAAACTCGAAAGATCCGACTCTCCAAACCCTCGAAGACCCTCTTCAAAGCAGCGTGGGACTGTAGAAACCCTCTTTGAAAGGACCTTCGTCTTGCATAAAGTCGTTTGACATCCCAAGAGCTTGACTTAACTCCAATAAGCCCTAAACCTTCAACCCTCACCCCGAAGCCCCAAACCCTAAACCCTAAACCCTAAACCCTGAACCCTAAACCCCAAACCCTAGGGCCCTTTTCGTCAGCGACGAAAAGGGCCTTAAAAAAAAAAGAACCCTAAACCCTTAAACCCTAAACCCTCAACACTCAACCCTGAACCCTGAGCCGGCAGGTGCCTCACGAGCTGAAAGGGCAGATGGTCATCTGTGGCGAAGGGACCTCGAGCCACGCCTCAATCCGGGCTCCTTTGAGGGCTCCGTCTGGGGGCTTTCTAGGGCTTCGTGATGGTTCTACCGAGCCTGGTATCGGTTCTGTGGGGCTTTCATTGGGTCTTTTGGGTAGGTTTTAGTATTGCAACGAGGGCATTTGTTGTCGTTCCTGTACGTGACGCTTCGTACCTTGTTGAAAAGCGGTGCCAAGGCTGGTTGAACTTGTCCAGTGCAACATAGGGGCCTAACAACTTTCCAACACTATTTCTTCGAGTTCCTTAGTATAACTATACCACGATATACCTCAAAAGATGTATTTTTAATTTTTTTAATTTTTACTGTCACTATCTTAGACGCTTGCCGGGCTTTTTGGGGTATGGGCAGATGCTGGCATATGGTCGAAGGTCGCATTTAGGGTTCAGGTTTCGGGTTTTATCGTTCAGCGTTTAGGGTTCAGGATTAGTGCCAGCTACATCTGATTCCTATATCTGCGCTGAGGCAAGGAGCTGTGCATCCCAGTCGTCAGGTTGAAAACCTAGTCACAAAGTCTGAAATCCTGAAGCCGACAGTCGAATTCCGTCCACGCTCTCAAGGCTCGGGAGCTGGAATCCGTATACGGCTCCTGCTCTGAAGTATGTGGGCCCTTCGGGTGACAAGGAGGCCGTTGAAGCGAACTCTGGGGGGTGACAGTGGCGGCGCTGGTTTTGTCGTCCTCACTTTTACAGTTGTGGCAGTCGTAGAAGTGGCAGTGGCACCAACCCTTGACGAGCAGGATCCGTCATTGAGGACCCGATACAAGGTACCCCTTCCCAGAAAGCCTAATGGGATAATCATACAATTCTAGGGTTCCGCAGAATACTTGCAGCATAATATGTCCCGAAACCCTCTTCTAACTATCGATGCTCCTATACCAAAGCCCTACGGACTTGTGGCAGCCTGAACGGAAGAATCATAATTATCACGGAGCCTTGGTGCCAGGTGTGGGCTTTGCCGGGAGTACTGGCAGAGCTGAAACCAGGCCCGGTCTAGTGACTATTTCGGGGAGGGCGACGGGAGCAAGCTGTGCAGACCCCATAAGATTCTGGGGGTTTAGGGTCTGGGAATGAAAGGTAAGATTCTGCGGGTCTAGATAGTACACAACAGGGTTGCAGTGGCATCCTGTACTGTAAGTCGGTCGGACGATAGAAACAAAAAACAGGCTTCGTAGCTTTCAAATCCTGCTAATGAGAGCCTCAAAGCTTGGATTTTTCTGCATGACACGAGGCATGGCCTTCAAGTTCGTGTGCCTGGGCCACAACGGCATCCCCAGGTGGGAGGAGAACCGCCCGAACCGGCCTGGGGCCCAGTAGAAATCCACAGAGCACAATTAGGGTTTAGGAGTTTAGGGTTTCGGGTTTAGGGTAGCTTCAAGAAGGAAGCAAGCAAAACAGCTGTTTGGATTCGCAGCGCGGTACATACGACCTTAGTGAGCCATTCAGTATGCTCTTCGGCCAAGTATCCTAATGTCTCAATGTATGGTAGCGGGTGTATACAGCTTTGCATACATGCATTTCTGGGTACATTCACAGCGTGACAGTTGCCATCTGATCTTATGAGTAGCAGTATCACAGGTAGCATGTTTCCTTTTTGTTGCTCCGGCTTTACTTTCACGAAATCATCGTGAAATGACAAGGTTACATTTATCTGACAATCACTGTTGATTGACAAGTTTCCAACCAGCCGGGTTCTGCATCTCGCCTATTCCGCAAAGGTAGGATGAGATGCACCCGCAGTACTTCAACCCGTCACAGTGGTGACGCCTTGCTAATGTAGTACTGTGATGATAGTCATGTTTAGGATTGAACATGAGATAATCTTTAGTGTGACTATGAGTAGCGATAGCAATTGGTGGTGGCAGTGGTGGTGGTGGTGGTGGTGGTAGTAGTAGTGGTAGTTGTAGTAGTCGTAGTAGTAATCAAAAGGAAAGCACCTGCAGCCCGAACTGTTTTGGGCATTTCATGATGAGGATGGAGGATTTAGTTTGGATGTGCGGGGTTCTTCGTCTTTCGTACTCCTTTCCATCGGAATCCTGTTCTGCAGGGTTGCTCGAAGGCCCCCGATGCGGTGACCGTTGGGAAGTCTGGTAGCCCCTTGAAAGCCCGCCGTGCCATGCTGAGGGTCTACCGAACTTCTGGAGAGGAGCTTGTGGCTCTGGTGGAGGAGGAAGTGGTCGGCCTAACGGTCCCGGCGCTCAAGGAACGCCTAAGGGAAACGCATGGCTTCCCCGTTTGCATGCAGCATCTGCTGCAGTGCGGCAGCGTCAGCGACCTGATGGATTCTGCCAGCTTAGAACCGCTGATGGAGCTGCAGCTGTATCTGAAACCGATTACGGATCTGCAGATGGGCCGTGTCGCTGCACGGGAGCTTGTGGAGTTTGCAGCCCCCTGCGGAAAAGCTGATACGGTCCGCTTGCTGTTGGATGGGGTAGACATCAACTGGAAGGACGGTTCCGGCCAGACAGCCCTGGCCATTGCATCGCGCAAGGGTTTCGTGAGGATTGTCAGATTGCTGTTGGAGGCCGGTGCTGATCCAAACATCCAGGATGCTTCCAAGTTTACCGCATTGATGCACGCCGCGGACCTCGGCCACGTTTCGATCGTGCGCTTGCTGCTCGACCATGGTGCGAACTGGGAGATCAAGGAATGGATGGGACGGACAGCCCTGGTCCTGGCGTCGCATCGTGGGCATGAGGACATCGTGAGCTTGATGACAAAGGGAGGAGGAGGCTGGTTCTGACAAAGTAATCTGGACTGCAGCTCCCACTTACATCTTAGATATCGCCAGCGGTATGGTTGGGGCAAGTCCTTGACGTCGCCACTTAGGCTTCCGGCTCTGAGCCGATGGAACAAAGTGCTGCCAATGTTGGACCGTAGCTGCATGCGCGCAACTCCGCGAAATCGTGCAAACAGCTGATTCTGGTTTGCACGGTGCACGACAAACAGGGGTTTTGGCTTTCAGGCTGCATGGTTGAGGGGTTGCTTGCAGTCCAGCGTGCAGGGGTTGCTGTCTCCAAAGTAACAGGGCCCCTCTAGCTACAGTGCAATTCTGAAAACGCATTTTGACTCCTGGCCCAAGCGCAAGCCGTCCTTTCAACACCTGCCGCCTTCAGCCCCCCGAAAGCCCCAACCCCCAAAGCCCGGCGTCTATAACCTTAGAACCTTGCAGCCTTGACCCGGACTGCCGCTCCTGAAAGTCGAACCCTCCATAGGTTCTGGACCGGTGAGGAGCCGGAGTGTTTGGGGTCACCGCAGAAAGCTTTGAGAAGGAGGTTTCGGAGGGTTCGGTTTAGGGGCTTCTCAAGCAGGGCTTCTTCTCCCATGGTCTTCGGGTAGTGAGACCCAGCATAGGGCACCTGCGTTGGTTGAAAGTTTGTGGCTTTAAGGCTCCGCTCCAAGCCCCAAGTCGGAAGTCGTCGTCATCGTCGTGGTGGTCGGGGTGGTAGAGATGCTGGCGTCATGAATCTATGTAACCGCTTTTGTATTAGCACGCGCAGTAGCATGAGTGAGTCCATCATTTACTATATACTAACACTCTAGATCTTGTACTATTCTTGCGCTTATGGGCTGCAGGAGGCATCCTACCTCTTCGACCTCCCATCGCCCCGGAAGGGGAAGGACGGCTCCGGAAAACCCTAAAACCTCAACCCCCAAATCCGAAACTCAAACCCCTAAACCCCTAAACTTTCGTGGCCGAAACCCAAATTATGCTATAATGCGTGCCAACACCCTAACCCCGTAAGCCCTAAACATGACGATGCGTACATATATATATATACATATATATATATATATGTAATCTTTACACACACATTCTTATTTTTTGGTACCATTATATCAGACCCTATTCTGAGTGTTGAGGCCCCATACTAAGCCGTTGGTGTCGAGGCCCAGGCCGTCAGCCGAGAGCCCGCCCTGAACCCAGATGTATTCGACAGACCTGAGGAATATACAATGTGCGAACAGACGTCTTCTTGTTTATTCTTGTTGCTTTTAGTCTTCGTAGTCTTGTTGACAGTAGTGTTATTTGGCACTGGCCCTGTTGCTTCTTCTTCTCATCATTTCTTATTCTTATGTTTGCGGATATTATCAGGATTGGACCTATGGTCGATGTACTTATTCGGGTATCTAGTCCATCCAATCACGTCTGTTTATGCATTATGGTTGTTTTTGTTGTTACTTATCATTGATGTTTTGTATGCCTCTGACTGTTTTAATGACTATTCGAATTATCATGGTTAACCTGTTGGTATAGCCATTGTCATCATGTTTTTATGGTTTACACATGTAGTTATCATCAATACTGTTATTATCTATACACTTGTATGTAAGATCTCGACAAGGATGCTGGACTGGAGGGCCTGCATACAGCAAATGCACGTCTTGTGGAACTCACTCGCACTTTGTTGAGGTTCTTCCGCAGCACTTCACTTGCACCTTGAACAGCCCCCCTTAAGCCAAAGCGTCAGAAGATCCAGGACAGACCCCGGGTTTGTGATACAGACCTTTAATCAAAACCCTAAACCCTAAACCCTAAACCGTAGTAGAGTCCATTACTGCTACAAAGGCTCCCAAGAAGAGAGTCCTGTCAGGCGGAGGGCCAGACTGAGCTGGAGGTGGTATGGGGCGACAACTGGCTCGTGGCTCGCCGGGTTGGGCTCGACTTTTCGAGCGCTTTCGTTGCTTACGCTGTCTACTTCTGGGTTTCCGGGATGTACACTGAAAGACTAAACGGAAATTCCATAGCTCTATGTACTCCTACATCCCAGCTTTGTGATGGAGTTGGGTTTGGACCGTCCGCCACCCAGGTGGACATAGACCCGCTCGAGTTTCCCGGGGCGGTGGCTGGCTTGCAAGAGACCTCGGGGTCTTTCGCAATGCGAAGCCCGGAAGCCTGAACACGAAATCCCGCGGTGTTGTGTCTGTTTGGAAAGCCTCTTTTCATTTACAGCTCCAAACCCTGAACCTTAAACCTTACAGGAGAGTCTAAGCGTCGAGGGGTTCCGAGCTTTTTCCTGGGCTTCAAGGTAGGAGTCGGAAGGGTGCACAGCGGCCTTCTTCAGTTTGCCTTTGCTCTCACATCGGGTGTCCTCATCATGTCCTTCGCGGCCTCATAGGGGACTTTCCGAAAATTAGGGTACCTCATTTTGGGGGTCCTTATAATAAGGATCCTACGATTTAGGGTGCTATATAAGGGTCCCCTATGTTCGGAAACCCCCCATAGACTTGAACAACGCCTGCAGCCTTCGGCCCTTTATCCCTGAAGCCGCCCCCCTAAACCCTAAACCCTAAACCCTAAACCGCCCCAACGGTAAATCCCCAAACCCCGGTCTCCCGACCTTCCGACGTAAACCCCGGTCTCCCTACACCCGGAAGCCCCAAACCCTAGACCCGAAGCCCCGAAGCCGAAGAACCCTAAGCCCTAAGCTCCTAAGCCCTAAATCCCTAGACCCCTAAACTCTCAAACCCCTGAACCCCTAAACCCTAAACCCCTAAACCCCTAAACCCCTAAACCCCTAAACTCTTAAACCCCTGAGATCTTCCACGCCTTCAATTGGAAGTTCACGGACGTTCAAAGGAAGGCACTCGAGGGGAATCGGGTCCGTATACCCTTTTCAACACCCACAAGGACCCTTGCATTCAGGGTTGAGAGGGTGCCTCAATTCTTGTGGCACAGAGGTGCCGGCAGGAGGTGCTGAAGCTGAAAGCCGAGATGTCTACTTGACGTTAGTTCCTGCCATGCAAACCCCAAAGTGCCCTGTTCGGTTCCAAGCTCCTTGTTCTCAGGGATGTTTTCGTGGCGGGGCCTTGCCCTACAAACAATAGCTGCAACTGTCTATGTATATGCCCAAATAGTTCAAGGCACTGTTGTGAGTATAATCGGGAGGGAGATTGAATACGTCGCCATGCAGGACCGTTGAACCAGTGTTTGTGACTCTCCCGACGGCAAGTGCAAAGCCCTCTCGGTTGGTGGAAAGCAGGGAAGTCACCATGTCCTTCGAACAAGTCAGGCTCCAGGCCTCCCTGCAGCACTCTAGCACATTTAGAGTTTGCAGATGTGGGTGAGTGGACTCTAGGATTACCCCACATCCTTCACCCCCGAAACCTCAAGCCCGAGTTTGCAGAGACTCTCAGAATCGAACGATTCTGGTGCACGCCAGCCTAAACCTAAGGCCCACAAGAGTGTAGTGTTTGCGAACCTGGTGCTTGTGATGATGCTACCTCTTCTTCTTCTTCTTCCTATCAGTACGAATCGTTTTGATTGTTGATTGCTTGCTGTTCTGACGATTGTCTCCCGACCACTATCAGTTCCAGCTGTCATGACGAGGTCCATCGCCGTGTGGATTGTTACGATATCCTTGACGACCAAACTAATGTACTCAGACTCAGAGACTACCAATGTAATAGTGGCATTCAAAGGGACGGAAGAATCGTAGTGTTGTTGTGATTATTTCTATTGTTGTGTTTATTGTTTTTTTTTGTGCAGCTGTTGTTGTTATTGTTGTTGCCAATATTAGTGGAAATATGGTTGTCGTCGTTGTCGTTAATATTCTCATTAGTGTCACTTGTCTTCTTCGTCTTCTTCTGAACCCTGAAACTTAAACCGCTCAAGCCTTTTGGCTCAAGGCTCAGGGCGTTTCAGTGCAGAAGGCTCCAACTAGTGTCCGCCTCCTGGTGTTTGTGCCCGCCGCCTCGTCTTCGGACTACGAGAGGCGATGCTTAGGTGGACTTTGGTATGCTGCGGGCGCTGCTTGGGGAGCAGACTCATCTGTGACAGAGGGCAAACCACCAGGCTTTGGAGGAGGGTTTTACGAGGGTGCAAGAGATGTGGGAGGAGCGCCTGGTGCTGATCGACTCAACAAAAGGTGCTCTTACAACAACTCTCGACGGATGCTGCATGCTGGAAGAAAGGTTGCAACGGCTGGAAGAAGGTGACAGTGGTGCAGTGAATGGATCAACAGTGGTCGCGGATGGAGACCAGAAGGTTGGCAAGAAGAAAGGGAGACGGCGCAATAAAGTAGAGCCTTGCAAAACTGTGGATCATCATATCGATTTCAAAGACACAGGCTCGGACGCGTGCTGCCACGCACCTACCCGGGTAGCAATCTATGGTATAGACGAACCCCTTTTCATCATGGGCGTACTTGGGATTGGAAGGGCACTTGCTGGAAGCAATGGTACGGAAGTTCGGGGCGTGGTTATGGTTTAAAGCAGGATGGGGACGCGACTGGTACAAACGCCGATGTGATTTGGCAAGCTGGCCAAACAGGTATCATCACTGGGGAGTGCCTATTTCGAAAACATGGACAAAGCAGCCATGGGTTTTGGGTGAGCATGTGGATGTCAGGGTTCATTGGCCAGGGTACGCTGACTTTTCCGGTCGTTGCTGTGAGCAAGCTGTGACTCTGCGAATCACGATTGGACATGAGCTGCAATGAGTGAGGTGTGAGTCCAATGCCATGCTGAGGGTTTTCTATGGTCGTCTAACATGGGTGACCTGGCGGCAAATGAGGTTGCCTTTTCGATATGGTGGCGTTGAGAATCGTCATCTGCACGGTTCAGCCGTGATGGCTGTGGGCTGGTTTTCTACTTCGTTTCTCCTCCTGGCAAGCGGAGGTGCGTAAGAGGAGCTAGATTCTCCTGCCTTAAATTGAGTGGTGTTTCGTCGACGGCTGGTGACCTTAGGCTGAAAAAGGAGCTCAAAAAAGCCGCTAAACCCTTAAACCCTAAACCCCTAAACCCCAAAAGCTCATCCCGTTCCAGGCCGCCATGATCGCAGCTTTGGGCTTCGATGCAGTGCAGCTCAGCCCGGCGCAGCGAAGCATCGACGGTGCCCACCAAGTGAAATCCGCTTAGGGGTTCAGGTTTAGGGTTTCAGGCTTAGGGTTTAAGGGTTCATGTTAAGAGTTTAGGGTTTACGGATCAAGGTTGCTGGCCTGGAATTTCGTGTCGGGTTGGGAAGTTTAGGGCTTCTGTGGCAGCCCCGAAGCAGTTAAACACCCAAAGCTGAAATCCATATTTTGATGTACTATAGGAGTTCATAGTATACTGTGGTATGCTATTGTCTGTGACGGTATAGTAGAGTAACCACCAACGCAGAAACATCAAAAACCTCAATGCCCGAGCGCAGAATATTCAACTCCTGGAAATCCTGTTGACCAACGGCCAGGGGGTCTAGTACAGGGGCTTGAGGACAGGAAGGTTAAGATTTCCGCCCCATGTTAGGGTGTCGAGTGTAGTGATTTCCATTAAAACACAGCCCAAGTTGCAGAGTCGCCATTACGTCCCAATGGCTATCACGCAGCACAGTTATGCTAGGGTATGCCGCAAGTTCTTACTGCGACGAAGACTAGTACGACCACTAAGAGTACCACTACCACTATTGCTACCACTACCGCTGCCGCTACCACTAGCACTACTACGACTACGACTGCTATTTCCACTACTATTACTGCTGCTGCTACTGTACTACCACCATTACTACACCTACCACCACCACCACCTACTACTACTGCTACTGCTACTACTACTACTACTACTACCACTACTAATACTACTACTACTACTACTACTACTACTACTTCTGCTACTTCTGCTACTTCTGCTACTGCTACTACTACTACTACTACACCGAAAGCCCGGCTTCAGTACCGGGATGATTCGCTGTACGATGTTCTGAAGTCCGTGGGCTGCCGTACGACTAGGCTTGTTCTTGTAGTCTTACAGTTCTGTCTTGTTTTGCAGAAAACACAAAGAACCCCAAAAGTATTAAAACGACCGAAAAGTTTGACCCTGAACAGGTGAGCAGTGGTGGACGCGCTACCAGCCCGTGAAGTACGAGGAGATCCATGGCCTCGGAAACGAGCAGGAGCCAGGGAGCATCTTGTTGTTGCCCTTATAAGATCACTTCTGAAGTGATTCACTGTTTAGGGTTTAGGGCTTTCGAGTTCAGGTTTAGAATGGTTTAGGTTTGAGGGTATTTATCAATGTTGGCAAGTATTTTTGCTGAGTCTTCTTACCGACTGCGGCCGTTCTTCTTGCAGAGAATATTTCACAGTACATACTTGGGTCTTGAGGAGGCAGTGCTACTTGCACTTCGTGTGCCGGGCTCATAGAGCCTCTTGCCAAGCTGAACGCTGCGAGCCTAGAGGACTTCTGATGATTCTCAGGCTGAGGGGTTTTGAAACCTTGAACCTTCGACCATGCATGCAGCTGGGGGTGCCCAAGCCGTTCCGCGCATCAGGAGCTCCGGCAATGCTGCAAGGCCTGTGAGAAGGCCCCTGTGGCGTGGCATGCGAGATGCTTAATTTCACCCTAAGCCCTCAACCAAACCCTGACCCTGAATCCGTGCCAGCCCCCAAGACCCCGAGGCTTCGACCCCGCAACCTACACCCCAAGCTTCATGAGAAGTGTGGGTGGGGCCAAATTCTGATATGGCCGTGGGCCATATCATGCTATAATTCCATAGAGACTACAAGGGGACATTCTTACTAGTTGATGAACTGTGGATGGGACTGAAGAGACAGGAAACGTCGGTGGTGTTTCCGAACGGAGGACGGTCCTCCGGGCACCGACAACTGTGTTGCCAAAGGAGTCTCAGTTCGGGGAAACCGCAGTGCAACCTGTCGTCTAGGCACAGTGTGCCCCTGACCTTCGTATCGTGCCTGAGCTTCCCAGGGGTCGTTGTCAGCTGAAGTTCCCGGTCCCTGGGCATCACCCGTACCGATGGTACATCTTATTGTGAGGGGAGAGCCAAGCTCATCGAGCTTCCGCCACCTACCGGACAAGTTGAGCTCGAACTTTTTTCCAAAATCATTTATTCCAAGTCCACAACCTGCAACCCCAGTGACCTTAATCCCTAGGCCCGGATCCCCAGCCTAGACCCCAAAGTGACACTGAACCCTAAACCCTATACCCTACATCCTCAATCTTCTTTTAACCCCTAAAGCCGTAAGTCGCTCTGCCAGGTCGGCCTTCTAGTCTTTGGCGACCTAGTCTTCAATCATATGCAGGCTCCCAGGGTTTGGGGTGTGGGGACTTTCGGACCATGATGATGGGCTTCGGCTATGATTTTGGGGGTTCTGACTATGATGTAACATCTGGGTTTGGGGTCAGGGCTTTAGGATGCGTCAGAATGCCACAAGGCGAGGCCTTACTGGTTTAGACTTTGGGGGTTTCGGGTGATTTCGGGTGCTTTCCCTTTGCAGCTTGCGATGTTCGAGCTTGGGTATCAAAGTTTAAGGCTTGCTTTTGGCGGTTGGCGCAAGAAGCGCCTGACCAGAAGTAGGCCACAGAAGCTGGAGTTGCGAGTTCACGTCCTACAAGACCAATTCAGGATCAATTTTTCTCACCCCTGAGCCTGGAACCCTGATAATATAGGGGCCTCAATAATTACCTATATTATTTTGGGGGTTCCTTATTATAATTATAGTATCATGGGCCCCAAAACCCTATTCTAGTTATTAAGGCCCCTATATTAGCTGGAAACCATGAGGCGGTAAACTTTGTAACTGTGACCGCAAGCTGCAGACCCATGTCTCAATCCGAAACGGTAAACTTAAGCCGCAAACAGCACGAGATATACAAGTCCTAAAACATACCCAAAACACGCAAACACCAAAATTCCGGAAACAAACATACCTAAAAGCTCCCAGCAACCAAATTCCCTAAAGCCAGAAGCAGGCAAACCCTAAAGCGCTGAATTCTCAAGCCCTCAAGCCCAATATCCCGGATCCCTACAGCCATAGTACCCTAAAGCCTTAGATACCCGAAACCCGAGCTGCAAGAAGCCAGAGACTCTTTGAGGTCGTGGCTAGCTGCGACGAGTGGCGCAAGGCGCAGCAGGACGTGGTGGATTTTAGGGACATTGGCCCAGGGCTTTAGGCAAGTTTCGCGTGCAATGGCTTCGGTTTACGGAGGCTACGTAGAGTTGGGTCTCGGGCTTGGCCACAGGGCTTTTGTTGCTTCCCCTCCGGGGTGACGGCTTGCTTGATGACGTTGCTTTTGTTGCTTTCTAGCTATTGTTGCGTTCCTGTCTGGTTAGTGGATTCAAGCTCTGTGTGACCTATGACGTCAAGGTCACCGTCTTGCTGCCACTCTAAGCATGAGACGTCTACTATTGGGGGACTGCAAGAATCAAGACTTTTGTAGGAGCTCTTGAAATACTGACACGAGACGACGAGCAGAGAGATGTTGTCACACAGATCGTGGGACACAACAGCTACTTTGAACAGGTGCGTTGTCAACTGGAATTCCTGGGTTTGGTTGTGGGTCTTTTAGGTAGCCCCCCATGTGACGGCTTTTCCAACAGCGCAACGTAAAGCCGCAAAACCCTCAGACGAAACCGAAAGTCGCGACTGACCTTTGAACCTTCAGCTCCGACCGTAAGCGCCGTTTGACAGGAACCTGATCTATCCTAAACCCAGACTTGCATTGCAGGGTTTCGATGGTCGAGAGTTGACGATGTCCATAAAGCCCAGAGTCGCCAATGAATATCTTCCAGAAGTGACAGTTGATGGCATGGGTCCCAAGCTTTTTGCGGCATCTCAAAAATCAATATCTAGCATGCTCGTGGCTATTCTCATCAGCGATAAGCGATAGCCGCTTTTCCTCAGAAGCTGTAGAAAACATAGTCGCGTGTCCCGAGGATGCGGGTCTAATGGAGATTCTTCAGCGCCGGCTCTCGCAGAAGTTGGGCCCGACTTTTACCAGGTGCGGAACGTGCTCACTGTTGTTTCTCAGGTTGCTTTTACTCTATCACTTTATCAGGTTTTAGTCGGCGAAATTGACTTGAGGGCTTAGAAGCACTATTCCTGACGGTTCCTTGTCATACTGACGCCAAACACGATGCTATACTATGGCCCCCAAACCCGGCCCAAACCCTAAACCCTAGTCTGCTGATTAAGGCCCCATTAAAGTAACGCCCTGAAAGCAGCCTCTTATGGAGACCTAGAGGCCTCGGTGGGGTGGAGGTTCATGGGTAGTTATAACGTGGGTTATAAGTAGGTTAACGATAATCATAACCCGTATTAGGGGACTTCTAGCCCCACGTATAACCACCCACGAACCTCCAAGTAGGGCGGAGGTGTGTTTTCTTCCTCCGCCTGCAGCGGGAGAGGGTTTAGGGGGCTGAGGGGTTCAGCAGGGACCTATTCAAGCTCCACATCCTCAGTGCCTGTAGTCCGCATCGAAAGCCCACTCTTCAACCCCCAAGATGATGGGTCGCCGTTAAGGAACATAAACTAAGTTACTATAATAAGGAAGCCATATTATTTGCTATATCCTCAGTAGGAAACTTAAGTTTAAAGTTCCTTAACAGCAACCCAGTCAAGGGCCTTAACAGGCCAAGATAAACTCTGAGACGTCAGCTCTAGAGCAGAGGGTCGCGTTCGGCCCTACGCCCATTTTGAGCAACTTTAGCGTTTAGGCGTTTCAGGGCGGTCCTGTGAGGTACCGACGAAGCCACCTGAGCTTTTTCTGGCCTCCTTTTGGGCTTCAAAACGTGGGAGTGTAGAGTTTCGCGCTTTTGACGGTTAGGTCTACAGCCCCCAAACTCTGAGCTTTTGTCCAGACCTTGGAAAGTAAACTCAAACTCCACTTCCTCCGTTGTGCGTTGCAGGGATGACTTCGAGTGGCCGTGGTATCCACTGGAGGGTGAGGACCTTGCTTCTTCTTGCTGTCGCACGTATGTCTGAGCATGCCTATTTCTGCCAAGTCGGGATGTTTTGCGCAAACATCCCTAAACCCTAAACCCTAAACATCCCTAAACCCGAAACCCTAAACCCTAAACATGTGATTCCATCTGTTCGGTTTTGCATCGCTTTACATGGCCTTCTCTTTCTTCCACACTCCTGGGCCCCTAGACTCCGGAAGCTCCCAAAAGCCTGAAAATGTCCCACCCTCCCGGCTTTCAAGTAAGGGTTTAGGGACAAAAATAGCAAGGTTTAGTAGGGTTTTTGAGCCACCCTAAGCCCTCCGAAAGTTTACACCTTAAGCCCTAAATCCTGAAGCCTAAAACCCGAAATCCCGAACCCCCAAGAAAAGTCAAGAACTTGGCAGGACTGGGATGGCCCCAAGCGCATGGAGGGCTGGGGCTGTGGCGAGTGGTCGGAGCTCAAGGTCGGGGCTCATTTGTTTCTTAAATTTCCCGTGTTTTTTTTTTTGTTTCTTTCTGTTTTTAATGAAGATTTTTTGGTCGTTAAGCAGGGTGTGCAAGGCTTTGCAGTGGCCTTTTGGTGCGATCTCCTGTGCGGGGGTTTCCGGGGTTTCTAACGGTCAGGGAGTCGCTGCCGTAGGGGTCGTTGAAAGAGGGATCCTGCGATCCAAAGGTGCGAATGGGAGGTTCTCTTCTGCCTCGAGTCTTACGCTTTCAGCCGTCTAAGATGCGGTTTGGGTCGAGGGGAAGGGCCAGGTTTGCGATTAGTATCAGGGGTTCGGCATTTAGGATTGAGGGTCAGGGTATCGTCATAGGGCCTTATAGGGCGTAGAGCTTCAGCCCCGGAATCTTCCTCGTCAACCCCAAGACAGAAACAGCCTGCACGCCCCGAAGATTGGATCCTCTACCTTATGATACCCCCAAGCCCCTAAAGCTTAAGCCCAAACCCCCCCAACCACTGAAGATTGACCTCTGACACCTCCAAACCCCTGAACCCCAAACCCCA